TAACGCGGGTAGTGCTGCCCCGGCAGTGGCTTACATCGCTGCGATAGGCAAGATGCCAAAAACGCCTATAAGGGGAGGAATGGATGATGTACCGTGTATATATGTATACATTTACACATGTTCATTTTGTACATTTCTAAAGTTAGATGGAAATACTTAGTAGCCTTTCTTCCCTGAATTATTTGCTCCTATAACATATCATTCATATATAGCAAACCATGATTAGATTTTTCATCAAAGAGTAGTAGTTTATTACAGGTAAAAATAACTTACTCTTCTATAACAACAGTTGTAGGTACAGTTCGGTTAGTTAGCGTATAACATATACGGCTGTACCGAAGACTGGTGTTCCGCTCAGAGCGAGCCGAAAAACACACTGTTAGACATGGGCGGAGCCTCTCTGCGGAACACCAGTCTTCGGTACAGCCGTATATGTTATACGCTAACTAACCGNGCTCACTGGTAGACTGCAAAGAAACACAAACACGTTACGATTGGACTCTTGATAGATGTCCTTGCTCATATAAACATGCATACATGTATGAAGGAATACTGAGAATAAGATTGCCCAGTTTGAGGGCCTTATTTTTCTTAAACATCAGCAGTGGAGTGCACCAGCTGGGCGTAAGCTGGTCGTAACTCTACGTCCGACGTAGAACCCAAGGTTAAGACCAAACTAAAGTTATGACTAGTGCGCCACTAAGACTTAAGCCCTGTGTGCGTTGCGCCTGGGTGTAACTTGTACGCCTAGTAAGGAGCAGGTGTAAATCGTAAAGACAGACTAGTATCCATAGTAACGTAAAACAGGCAAGAAGGAAAATAACGATGGCAGTGCATTTACAGGTTTAACAACGAAAGGGCATTAAGACGAGAAAGAGTCGTCCTTAATTGAACAAACCCACTGGCCGTCTATTCGGACAGTGAGCTGATAGAGGTTTCGTTTCGGCAAACAAGCCCTTTATGAATGAATCGAGGAGATCTCCCCTTAACTCCAGCACGGATCAGACAGAAACGCTACGCTCTCCCCAACCTTGCAGGTGCTGATTGCGCTCAGCTTTTACGCTAACGGGCTGCTTTGAATGGAGAAGTTCGAGTGTTAAATTATGTAGAATTCACGTGGACGCGCATTTTAAGACTAGGCGCAGCTACGACCGAGACTAGTAAGGTTGGTGCACTCGGTGTGAATTCAAATCACTAAGTCTGACGTATCTGAGCCCGACGTTAGAGTTAAGACCTACTTTTTTACGCCCAGCTGGTGCACTCCACTCCAGGGATTGAATCCATTGCTTTTTGCAATTTGGATAAAGATAAAAGGTGATTGAAGTACCTCTTGGGGGAAGACAAGCTCGTAGACTTTCTTCCAGAGGTCCTTAGGGTTTTTGGCATGCAGAGAAGTAATGTCAACATCAGTAGCAGGAGGGGAACCTAAAGGAACAAAGACAAAACAAAACAATCCTGGTCACAACAATGAAAGTCAGAACAACAGGAGGTGGATATAAATCAGACGTTTTTCCTACAACCAGCAGCAACAATTATTTAATTAAGTTTAGGTGCATTACTGCTTTTGGCCACCGGTTGGTGCTGTGCTCACCGATTTGGCTGAAGGAGTCGGAGCCTGCTGGAATGATGAGGGGCTTGGTGCAGTCACAGCACACAGTTTTCCTGATCATAACATTAAGACAAAAATATAACTTAAACCAAAGTATTAAACCTATAGTACAGTAACAAATGTACGTAATGTATAATCCATTTCGAGCAAGAGTTCATATCACAGGGTCAAAACGGTTGAAGCTGTTATATGAATTAATTATATAATTTCAAAGTCCTACTGAAGTATAAGTCAATTGGGAAATCTACCAAGTATCAGTGATACCACTTTAATATTTATGTTTTTAAAGAGCTAAATAATACCAGTCCCTGTCAGTATCCACCACTAGTTAGTGAACTGTGTTACCCTCCTCACCCTCTGTCCAGACCGAAAGCCATGTGAGAGAAGAAGCCTTTGGTTTTTGACATCAGGCTCTCGGTCTTGATGCTAGTGAACTGATACAAAAGATAAATAACAGGCAGAGAGGACAATTAAATCAGTGGAAACGGTTGAAAGAAATGATAGATTCAATGGTAAGAGAAAGCAACAAAAAAAGTAAACATATTTTATGTTAATCAAATGTTATGCTTAATGTAAATATGTCACATGTATAGTTAAAGCTCACTTACAATCAGAGAGGCTGCGTAGTAGTGGGCGACAAAGCGCAGTGTTTTACTTATTACCTTCCTCTTATCAGAGTCAAATTCCTGCAACAGACAGAAAACAACTCTCCTTCGATAATGTGTAAAAACAAATCATACAAACATCCATAAATATGTGAATTAGCCAATATGAGACCAACTTCAAGGTTATGCTGAAACATGTGTTCTACCTGAAAAAGGTCATATTTACTGCCGATGATGAGCAGAGGAACAGGAAAGGGACTGATCAGCTCTCTGTCCTGTTGGAAAAGTCAAAATTAAATCAGGATAGATTTACCAGCAGTGGCGGACTGACGTTCGGGACGAATCCCGATGGGCCGGTACCGAAGTGGGCCAGTCGGACGATGTGGGCCGGTCGGATAAGTCACTAGCCCCCGTCCCCCGTCCCCGTTGACAATTTACTAGTGGGACCGAAGTGGGCCGGTCGAGATGCCCGGGCTGATTTTTTGTCCCAGTCCGCCCCTGTTTACCATCCTACATCTGACCTGAAGGCATGCTTGCAAAGCCATGCCATGCTCCCCACAATGCAGTTCGATTAAAAATCTTCTACGTCTACGCCATTCAAGTGAATGGGCGAAGCGTTGAAAGCATTTTTCGATGCCTGTAGTGTAGACGGGCCGTTAGACACATTATTCCAACTTTGTGTCTACTGTGAGGAAAGTTTTGGTGAACTTTTCTCTGGGTTTTCACCTTGTTTGTTCAGTTTATTAGTATTTCTCTTTTCACATTTTGATTTGTAACATATAATTAGTTTATAGTTTATATGCTACTATTGCCCTGGACTGAAGAATAGAGTATGCCTATATAATGTCGAGTGTGATGAGCTGAGGTCTTACAGGATAGTCTTTCGGGAGGACGCGTGCTGAGTGGACAGGCGTCTGATGTTTGGCTTTCTGTGCTTTTTGTGCCTGGGAAGAGACTTTCTCCAGCTGAGCCTGTGATGCCTGCAGCAGCCTCTCCAGGGTTCCCCACAGGGCGTTGGGTTTAGAGAGGTCCAAAATGAGGATGACAGAGAGAGACCTGGTAAAAGACATCAAGGAGTATGTTATCTAGCAGGATACAAAAAGTGTTGCTACAGCACTGAGGCACAGAGCAAGGAACCCCTGACACTGCTGTCCAAACCATGATGACTACTATATAGATGACTCAAATAGTTCTACCGATTTAAATATAGAGTTAAAAACAACCAATCCAAATAGTGTGTTGAGACATGTGGCTTAACTATGTAACAAAGTACATTTATGATCAGGAATGTGTGTGAGGTACCTACCTGATGCTGGCCGGAGAGATGGGGATCTGGACCAGGTCTGACAAAGAGGTCCCTCCTCCCAGCTCCCATAGGTGGGCTATGTCTTTGGGCTGAAAGAGGAAGCCACCACCAACAGTATTATTACACTATCTCATTTAAAGTAACATTGTATTGCACATACATTCAGAATTTCTGGTTTTAGTAAACAGACTTTAATGTCAGTTAAATACAGAATTAACTATTATTCTCAATGTGCTGGAGAACTAGTCAAAGTCAAGTCAAAGTCAACTTTATTGTCAATCTTTCAGTTTGTGTGTACAGACAGTGAGTTCGAAACACCGCTTCCCACAATCCCGAATACAAAAATACAACAGAATGACTAGAAGTTGTGATGGCTAAATGTAGTATTTACCAGGCTTACATTTCACACAACTCCTTCTCATCAATATAGATTACAAGATGTTTTTGAAAGTATTTGTCAGGATCATCTGTTGTTTGTCTTAATCCTATTTTTTTACAAAGTGTCCAAGACCAACAGGGCTTTCTTACTGTGTTGTGTCCTCGGGCCCTCCTGCCAAAAGTATACTCCAGAGCCAGAGTTGGCTTGGATGGTTCATCCCTGGTAGAACAACAGCATTATTGGTGTTTAAAAACAACACAAATGCAAAAAGGTCAATTAACAATCTTTCAGTGATTTCATCTCTGTCTGCTTCTCAAATTGAGCTGCACCTTTGAACATAGATTATACATATTGCATCCTGTTCCTCTGGCCAAGATTTTCCTCTGATGCTCAAAGTATTAATGTTGATAGTTAGCATTTGTTTTCTAGTGAACAGTTTCTTCCAATCATACAGAAAATCCATTTAAAGTCGTTTTTTACTTGTGTTAGGCTAGATTGCATCACTTTTCAGGTTATAGTTGATAACATAGACCAACCCCATGCTCACCTGTCGAGGCATCTGAGGAGAATGGACGTTTTACCCTGAAAAAGAAAGCAAAGGAGAACTTAGTAGCTACAACTTATCTTATAGCAAGACTGTTTCCATTAAAAAGCAATACATGTACTGTCAGTGTTGTGGCTTGGCAGTGAACAAACCCCAGCCTTGCTCCCCATCAGGAAGACGGTCCTCTCGCTGACCGCCTCCTCCTCCTCCCCGACTGCAGCCTCCAGGCTCTGCACCTCCGCCGCAGCCTGCTCCCATAGCGAGTCCGAGCTGTCAAATACCACAAAGTCATAACATTGTTTGTAAAAAACCATGCTATTATGTCAGTGATAGGGTTATAAATAAGAAAAGTCCTATACACACTTATTCTCACCTTATTTTCGGCATCAAATTGGATTTCCCCCTAACTTTGACAAGCTAGCTAAACGGCTACAACCGAAAGAAACAAACGTTGCCAGAGTAACGGCGCATTTAGATGATGTCATCATTGCGACTCCTTGGTGAGCATTGTGGGTAATGTAGTGTCTTCATGAACACAGTCAAGAGTTTTGTTCAACAATTTCAAAGCTCCAATTATACAAAAATATTAGTTTAAAAAAAAAACATGATCTACAATGTGTGTATCTTAGATTGTGTTAGATATCGTCTGTAAAATAAAAGCACATGTTTTTCTGTTAAACTACACCATACTTTTGTTATTCCTCTAGCAAAATTGAGGGGCAAAAGATAAGACACCTCAGGATAGTTGTAATGTTATCTTCCAGGGTTTAAAACAGTATTTGTTGTCAGTCAAACATGTCTTGGAATAACTCTCACATGTATTTTTAAAACCTTTTTTTTGTGGAAAACCTACCTACATTTTAAGAGAACTTTAATGAGAAGTTGTTGGGGTCTTTGCCCTTAATGTTGACCCACTGTCATGTTAGATTCATACATCATTTATCGTGATTTGAACAATAAATGAAAATTTTGGGAATACTCCTCTTTAATCAGAACACAATGAAAATGATCAGAAGCAGGGAAGAAGTTCTCCCTAAATCAGTTAAATAATAAACCACAAAAAAGTAGGCAGAACACTCGGAAAGTAAATCAATACATAATATCATTTGACAAAATACTGTACAGTAAGGGCATCTCATTCATAGTACAGATTTCCTTAAGCAGCGCAAATGAGAGCTTGAGTAAATCAGAACAAGACATTTCTCCGTGTAGCGATGATCTTTAAAATGTTCTTAGTTCAGGAGATCGTGAACAACTTGAAATATTTTGCGTTGAATCCTTTAAATGCAGAGGAACAGAGCGGATGATGGTGAGTCTCTTATTTACGAAAAACATGTAATCAGATGGTCTTTCATGCCTTTTTCCGTGGCTCGTCAGAATAAGGTACATTTTCGAGTAGAAGGCTCTCTCTGGGTCGAAGCACTGTGAGAGAAATGTAAAATCAGGGTCAAGATGTATGTTTTATATTTGTTGAAAAAAGACAAGATTATGGAACATAACAACATACAGAGTTTCTTATCTCCAACATGTTCCACTTGTAACACGCCTTCCCGCAGAATAGCTTCCACAGATGAGCCCATTTTCATCATCTGTAAAAAAACAAACAAGAAGGGTAATGAGGGTTAACAGATGTGCTATTATGTTTATTACTGAATGCTGTAGCCCTCACTGTGTAGACATGAACAATATAATTAAAACATATTTTGGATTGGACTTTGAATCAGCAGATACTTAATAGGAAAATAACTTAGATTAGTTTAAGAAGCTAAATGTTATTTAGATGCACAACTGCTAAAGTACAGACTTGATATGAACATGAACACACAATGTCCCTTCATGTTGTACTTTCACTGTACCTTCTTAATGTTTTCTTCTGACGTTTCCTCTTTGTTTTTCCGGAACTCATCGTTGATCTTTAATCTTGCAGCTTTGTGGAGAGAAAGGATTTAGTGTACTTCTGTAAATTGTAATATTGTAAAGCACTACTTTCGTAAATAATAATGTTCTATTTTCTTTGTCTCTATCATAGACTGTATATATAAAGGTCTCTATCTAAACTTTGCGGTAAAAAATTAGAATTCTGATTCTAATAATCCAAAGAAAGATAGCCACGGATATTCTTCTGCTGGGAATCAATCCAACATTAGTCTCACCTGTCAGTGCTTTGTCATCATCTTTGAATACAGCCATCCTGGTTCTGTGCAACGATTTAAACGTGCTGAGGATCTGCAAATGTAATACACATGATATAAACCACAGACTGTATGTAAACACGAAGCTTTCACAACATCAGGACCTTGACAGTCGCACTTATGACACTATAATTCCCTGTCCTTTTGGCAATCTACTTCGTAGTATATGCAAACATGTGTATTGAGAAACAAACAAACAATATAAAATAAAATAAAACATTGTTATTATGATGTTATTTATATAAACGCATGATTATTTCACGAACTCACCTTCAAACGTGTGCCCATCTTGACTTCTTTAGCTCACTTCCGGTTTGGAGGAAGTACCAAGGACCAATCAGTGAATACTTTGCGATGACGCGTTTCTGTAGTTTCACAAAGCCAAAACCGGCGCTGACAGTTCCTCTCATATGCACCAACATGGCTGATGAAATGGCTAAAGCTCGGGTTGCTAAGCCCGGTGGAGACACTATATTTGGAAAAATCATAAGAAAAGAGATTCCTGCCACCCTGCTACATGAAGATGACTTGGTATGCATTCAACATTTCAACTCGTAAACACTGTTTCTGTGCAGTTATCCGCACTGCGCCCTGCAGGTGACGTGAAGCTAACGTTAGCTTCATCCTAGCAGTGTAGAAACCGAAACTGTACTGTATAATGTTGTGAATGTTATGAGGTCGTTTTTCTCAGAATGAAACCAAACCAAAATAGCAACCCTGATTACATAAATGCTTTAAAACAGTAGAAGGGCTCCTAGCCATGGTTTATATTTGTGTCTGCACATTGAAGTCATTGCTTTAGTTGGCTTTATACCAAAGTACGGAAAGGTCCACTTGTCTGCCTGCTACTCCAGCTGATCCATTTCATGTTTAGCCAGTACTGACTGTGAGCATGCATGTGTTATGGTTGCAGTGAATTTAATTCTTAAAGCAGCTATTGTAGTATTTAACACAAAAAAACTCTCAAAAAGAGAAGCTGCCTGTGTCATATCCAATCAGAAGATAACGTCATTGATTCAAACTGCCTGTCCAACAGGTTCACTGCAGTGTGTTTTGTTTATGCATCTGGGCCATGTTACACTTTTCTTTAAAAGTTCTTTAAAAATCTCTGAACTTCTTAATACTCCAAATGTAATAAGATATATTTGATTTCCTTCATTTGGTAAATAGGTTAAATAAGCATTTTACAATGTGGCATCTTTGAGACCACACATGCAACATCCTAACACACACATAAAGATTGTTGTACCAGAAATGGCCAATATCAACTTTAAAAATGGTTACATTGAAACACATGTTGAATTTTTTTTTGAAGATATTTGATTACCAGGATTTAATTTCTTTGCAATACCTCGTCTTGAAATGTACCCATCATGCAGTAACAGCACAATATCTATATACACGTATGGGGTGGAAGTCACAATATTGAGGTACCATCTTTTGCATTGCATCATATTAATGGTTGTAGATTTGAACTGGCTAAATTCTTGTCTTAAATGTGTGTTATTTGTATTTCAGTGTATTGCCTTCCCTGATGTTTCACCTCAAGCTCCCACCCACATCCTCGTCGTCCCTAAAAAGCCAATCGTTCAGCTGTCACAGGCTGAGGATAGTGATGCTGCAGTAAGTACAATCCTATAATAGAGTTCCATACGCTTGCTGGAAATCCTTTAAAACACTTGAATTTCAAATGTGTTTTAATTTTGTTCTTGTGTTTTCAAAGCACTATAACATTGTGATAAAGAAGTGCAATGATTCGTATGTTGTAAGAAATGTTTCCATAATTTACCACACTCTGAGGGGCTGGAAAAGATTACAAATGTATCTTAAAATGCTTGAAAAGTGCTTGAATTTGACTTTGAATAAGTACACTGAACATGACTGAATCCCCACTATTGTTAAGTATTTGTCCAACAACTGTGACCACTAGATGGAAACCTTCACAAGACTTAATGCTTGTCTTACAGTTACTGTGAACACTGCGTTGTAATTCAGGGGTTGTCTGCTTATACTTTATACATGTGTGTCTCTAACTTTAGTGTCATACATCTTTCTCTCTCTGTCTCTCAGTTGTTGGGCCACTTGATGCTCGTTGCAAAGAAGTGTGCTAAAGAGGCGGGTCTGACTAAAGGCTACCGGATTGTCGTGAATGATGGTCCGGAGGGAGGCCAGTCTGTCTACCACATCCACATCCACGTCCTGGGTGGACGTCCACTGGCATGGCCCCCCGGCTAACCTCCCCCCCTCCCACACAGAACATCCTGTCATCAGTGTTGTTTGTCTGTTGTCAAACAGCAGGAATAAACCATGTGAATTAAGAGTCAGACAAAATCTGGAAATTCATTCATGATAATAAAGAGCACTTCACAAAAACAGAACCTTGTCTTTATGTTACATTTTTCAAACCTGGTTTTTTAAAGGTCACCTATTATGCAAAATCCACCTTTCCATGTCTTTTATACATAAACATGTGTCCTCTCTGTGTAAAGAGACTCTGAAAGTTTCAGGAAAAAAGATTCTCTCCCTTTTTGTCCTGATCCAGTTATATAAAAACCTGTCTGAAAATGAGCTGATCAGATTTTGGCCACTTTATGATGTCATAACGACTTTTTTGGCTGATGTAACCATTAGCCAATCAGCAACCAAGGTAACCCCCCCCCCCACCTTATCACCTGAATCCCCTCCTAGAGCACCATTGTGTTCTTTTTAACCAAATATCTCTCAGAGGGGAGTGGCTCCTTATTTTCATCTAAAGTAACAGACAGAGAATCAGCACTTTTGAAACAGAGGGGATTATGGGATGCTGCAATGATCTGTTTGGTGTTTCAAGCCAAACACTTCAGAGACAGGTTCTGTATTTATCTGAGACTTATAATATATATTGATGAAAAACAGTATAATAGGGGACCTTTAAGATATGAACACTCAAGGGATTTCAAGCACTGCTGCTCTCTTTACCTTGGTGCCTTTTATAAGCATTTAAGTGAAAGACAGAATTGTCTGCAGTAAGAGAAAGCACGCCGGCTGCTGGAGGACTACACACCTCACATTACACTTTGTGATTCATCACCCTGCGCTAGAGAAAGTCTCATGTAGTCAGCTTAGTTTAATAGAGTTCGATCCTCTGTTCTCGGCACAGCATTTAGCTGACGCTGGAACTTCAATATTGGGGCTTATATTTGTACTAACACATTCATTATCTTAGCTGTGTACATTTGGCATTTTTTATATAAAATGTTTTGAATGCCTAAAATAATTACAAATATTATAAAAATGCAAAAGCAAACTGCCATTTTCAGTTAAGACATGATAAATGTGGTTTTTTTATCTGTAAGAATTAGGGACATTTGGTCTGAATTAATGTATTTTCTTTGATTAAAAAGTCCATGAGGTGTTAAGCAATCCAGTTTTGGAATAAATGTATATATGTTCGTTGAAACACAGTTTTATTTTTAAAAGCAAAAATACAAAGAAACTAGTCTGAAGGAAATCAAGTAGAATGCCTTTATATACTGTCTACACTGCAGTATATAAACGCATACTGTCTACATGTTTAATATCCAGTCAAATAAATGGAAACAAGTGAATGGCTCTGTTTTATTAACAGTAAGAAACATTGCAGATAGTTGAACAAATATAAAATACATGACAAATCCACAGAATATTAAACAAAAAATAAATAAAATAAAATGATGTTTTTTCTTTACAAAAATGAAAAAGAACACTGGTCAGATGACACATGTAGAATTTCAAAAATAAACATGTACCTAGCATTCACAATCCCCTCATTTCATGTCTTTTGATACAATGGGGGGAGGGGGAAATCAGGATTAGCGGCTTTGAATTTACAGACAGAAAAGCTCCAGAGTGGCAAGGCAGTCACTTCTCATATCAAAGTGATATCATTCCTGTCAAACCAATTGACATTTGATGCAGCCCCCCACTGCTTCTTCACTTCTTCTGTATGAAAAACGCCACAATCTGATGTGCAAAATAAGAGAAATCTTTCAGACAGCTACGTCTTTTTCTTTTCTTTTAATCGATGCCCTTGAATAGTCAAAACGGGCACTTTGAGGCATTGAAAAAAGAATGTACAGCACAGTATAGAGAGAACAAAATGAACGTATTCTGGTACCTAAATTCACTATTGCAAGAGCATCTAAGTACTAATACACTGCCTTTAAGTCATCTTGCTCTAGAACACAGACTATACGCTGAAGGGGAAATTAGAAAAATGGTTAGTCCCATAAAGAAAAGCAGCAAATGCAATGAAAGTGAGGTTAACCATACTGTGTCTGCAGTAGTTGGAAATCCCCCCTCCTTGGTGAAGAACAATGCAACGTTATACCCTGATATGAGCCGCATTACAAGCTAAATAGATAGAGTAGACAGGGGGCTTATTTTCAAAGCTGTGTTCATTTCTACTCGCCGACGTTCCCCAAATACACATCTTACTTAGGCCTCGTTTTTTCAACAAAAAGTTCCTTAAAACCAATTCCAGTAGCTTTTTAGGTTTTGTGTGTATATACACTGGGGAGTGATACAAAATGTTGTAATGTGAGAATGTGCATTTTAAGTATTAAAAAGTAAAAGGTTTAAAATATCTACAATATCAGTATTTAAATATTATAAAATATTTAGTTGGAACCATGTTTTTTTTCCCCTTAAAAAAAATCACCCGCAACTGTAAAAAGTAGAAAAAAGCCAATTGGAAATCATAGGACACTTAAGTGGAAAGGGCACAGATTCTCAGAGGCAATGTCACATGGGCCAAAAACAAAATGGCAGCGATGATTAAACTAGTGTTTCATTAAAATAAATATGCTTTTTGAAGGAAAATGATCTTGACATTCAGAGAAAGGGATGAACTGCAGAGGACGATGAGACGTATATGAGATGAATTGCCATATTTTAAATTCAGATTCTCAGGTTTTTGCACAACAAATTTCAACATGGCTCCACTGTTTGAAAATAACACGACGTGTTAACTTTGGTAAGTGATTATTTAGCCTGAAAATGATCATTGGTTTCCCAAAGGCCGTTACTACTCTTGTGTAAAACTACCATTCAGTATTAGTAAGATCAACACAGACACCAACTTGCAGGAGGGAAGCTCTCAGCTCGGTCCTGTACATGCTACTGGAGGGACAACCTTGTTCTATTTGGGAGGAAAAGGAAGGGAGGGAAAGAGTCAAACATAATGAAAGAAGGAGAAACAGGGGGGCACAGATATTGGGAGGCACTACTTATTAGTCAGTCAGTTTCAGAGACGCATCAATGGACGGTTAGGGTTATCTTTTAGGCATAAAACATGTATGTTGGGGGTGGCTGCTGACATATCCTTTGTATTGAACAAGAGCTTATAAAATCACTGCAGTGTTCCAGCATAGTGTAAATAAAACGTATTCTGCATAAGATGTTATGTTACAATGCATTCTGTTTGTCTGAAAGTACTGTAATAAAGTTGTTCTGTATATTATTTGAGGTTGAGGGGCGGCTACTATAGAGGAAGTGTTTTAAGGCATGTCCTTAGTGTAGGTGGGGTCCAGACACATGGAGAAGGCAAGAGGAGGAGAGAGACTGAACAGAGATGTGTCCACTGAGAGCAGCCAGGTAGCTTGAGGTTGTCCTGTAAGCAATAACAGCTGAAAGGATCCTCCAAATCACTCATGGATGAATTCCCATTGGAGGGTGTATCCATGATGCATCGGTTTGGGTTACAGTCAGCTGAAGCACTTCATTTCCGGACAGGTCTGGTGAAACTTGAACTAAATTGTGTTTGTGTTATATTCCTGGAGTGGGTAAGTCAGCTGAATGGCAACTGTTTGAATGTTAGTTTGTTGTTCTGATAACTAGCCGCCTTCACTCCAAATCAAAAGTTTATTCACATGACATTGAAACTTCACTTCTGTGCGATGGCCTCCTCTCCGCTCGGCCTCATGCGGTTGAAGGGCCGCCCCCCGACCGCCGTCAGACTGAGACTCAGGCCGGGGTCTCGAGCCGTCTCCTCTATGATGGCAGAGGAGACCTGGACCCTGGCAGAGGCTCCGGGCCCCGGGAGGGTCTCCAGCAGGGACTCTTTGGCTGGGGGAGCAGACCCCGGGCTAGTGGCAGTTGTTTTGGCCGTTAGGGGCTTGGTGGGAGTCGTGGGGCTGGTGAGGCCCAGGCTGGCCAGAGCATCCAGGGTCCCATCAGGGTCCACCATCACATTGATCACTGGGACAGAAACAGAGAGAAGATTAAAGTGTGGACGGGTCATGTCTAGTGATTGAAGTGTTTTGAAAACTAAAATAAACTTCGGATTAAGCTCTTGGTTTGGATTTGAATTCCCTAAAACATAACACATAATTGTTGCTTCTATGGTTATTGCTTTTTAACATTATTGAGAAATACTTCAGATTGGAAGCAAAGTGTTCAGAGTTTTAGTTTTGCTTCTTTCTGTCTTCATTAACTATGCCCTCATCTATGGAGTTCAAATAAATAAATAAAATCATGCATCTTATCACATAAATGTAAACACCGTCTAAATTCATAAATGTTATTAGTACTGGTGGGATTATGTTTGTGTTTTTACCTTGAAGCTGCTTCTCAACTCTCCTCAATTCCAACAGAATTGAGGAGAACTCCTACAGAGAGGAAGAAAGGAAACAAGTAAATTATTATGAGTCAATAAAACTGCACTTCCGTCAGCAAATACTACTCAGAGACTCAGATTCTGTACCTTGTTGGTGGTTTTCAGCATTGGTATCTCACTCTCTGTCCGCAGTTTACTCTCAATTTCGTCCCAGTTCCTGTCCTTATCTTTAAACAAAATCCTGAAGAAAAAACACAATATTGTTTTTTCACAGTGGATAGACAGAGCAACACAACGGCACACTGACTGATCAATACACTATTAAATACTCCCAGCAGTTATAATATCACAACGTATGATTACCTGATTTTTCCTGCTGTTTTGTCGATGGAGTGCCTGATCTTAGTGGACAGCTGGGAAACTGAGTTGAGCAGCAGGCTGTCCAACACGGCCTGGAGACACAGAGGAAAGCAAATTTAACAATCTGAACGTGACTGCAGAAAGCCGCCATGTTGGTATATTTTTGATGTCCTGTGATGCGTCTCACCTCCTCTCGGTTCCAGGTGCGTCTCCTCAGCGCTCGGGGCTCCAGAGTGTCAGGGGCCCGGGGGCGGAGCTCCACTGGCTTACCGTTGATCTCTGGAGCCTTATTGGTTGAAATCACAGGCGGGATCTTCCTGAAGTTCAGGCTCTCGTCAAACACCCGATCCACCAACTGGGCAAGGACCGGGAGAGATGTAGAAATACAATTGAAAAACGTAAAGATATTTCTTGGATTTTTATCCCAGCTTTATTTAGTTTAGTTAGTTTAGTTTTATTTGATTAAAATCAGGTTTTTAAGAAAGGAAAGAAATGTGAACTCTGTCAGAGAGAACACCAAAGCTAAATGTCGGAAATTCAGATTGAATCCCATAGTTAGTTAGTTATTAAGTTAGTTAGTTGGTTATTAAGTTAGTTAGTTATTAAAGGGCCCATGTCATGGCCATTTCCACTGATCATAATTCCATTGTTGAGGTCTACTAAAATAGATTTATATTGTGCAATTTTCCAAACTCACATTGGTTTCTCATACAGTATCTCTGTAAAGTATGTGTATTCACTTTGTCCTAAACGGCTTGTTTGAGCTCCTGCCCCCCCCCCTCCCTGTGAGCCCAGTGTGCTCCAATTGGTCAGCTCGGCCACTCTGTTCTGATTAGTCAACCACCAGAGAGCCTCCGCCCATGTCTAACAGTGTGTTTTTCGACTCGCTCTGAGCGGACCATCAGTCTTCGGTACAGCCGTATATGTTATACGCTAACTAACCGAACTGTACCTACAACTGTTGTTATAGAAGAGTAAGTTATTTTTACCTGTAATAAACTACTACTGTTTGATGAAAAATCAAATCATGGTTTGCTATATATTAGGGATGCACCGAATATTCGGCCGCCGAAAATTATCGGCCGAAAATGGTTAAAAAGGCCCTTTCGGCCGAAAGGGTTCTAGCAGCGAAAAAATATCACCGAATGTCAGAGAACAGGGTTACGTTGGTAAACTAACGTGTTGTTGTGATGACGTAATCAAACCGCGGCGACAAGCACGGCG